TATCAGTGGCCTCTTCTTCATGTTTGCATAAGTGCTCCTGATCTGTGTGTAAGGCTGCCCCCGCTCCCACTGGGTCAGGTGGGAGTTCCACCTTGAGGTGGCTGGGGGGACCCTCAGTCCTTGGGTCTGCATTTCGGCGAGCAGCCTTGCAATGTACCCGTACATGGTTTCGCAGGGCCATTAGGTTGGGGTACTTGCGGGGACATAGTGAGCACTGGTACTCTCCTGTTCGATGGCTGTGTCGGTGGTTCACCAGGCTTCCTCGGTGGCGGTAAGCCCGACCACATTCATTGCACTTATAGGGGCGATGGTCTAGAGTGGTGGTAGGGACCCCATCTTCTCTGTGGGTGGTTTCAGTCAACAGCAAAGGAGCTGGTGGTACTGATGACTGTCCATCTTCCCCAGCTCCTTGCCGAGGTCTATGATGAGCCCGCACATGGTTTTTGAGAGCAGCTGCATTGAACAGCTGTTTGGAACAGACTGAGCAGGGGTAGACACCTGTCTGATGGCTCTTTCGATGGTTGATGAGACTCCCAGCATGCCGGTATGTACGGCCACAGTCCCCACAGCGGAAAGGCCGGTATTCTTCCAGGCCACTGTCTTCCAGCTCCCCAGAAGTGCTGAGCTCCCCAGAGCCATTCAGCATCTGTATACTAGGTAGCTGGTCCTGGCTGCTCTCATCTGTGTGACCATTGGTAGTGGGCATCCCTTTCTCTTCCCACGGTTGCTCCTGCCTTTCAACCTCATGGGACTGCTGGTGCTCCAACAGATCCCGGGGAAGCCGGAAGGCACGAGGGCAATAAGGACAGTGGTAAGGCCGATATTGGGCATGTAGTCGGGAATGGTTCTTCAGAGCCATGAGGTTAGAGAACTCCTTGAAGCAGATGGCACAAGGATAAACACCCAGGGTGTGGCTCTGGCGATGATTGGTGAGGCTACCAGCATGCTTGTAGGTCTTGCCACACTGACTGCACTTGTATCGCCGTTCCTCCTCAGCAGGAGGAGACTGGGTGAGCTCTTGTCCCCCAGTGAAGTTCACTACTGATTCAGCCAAATACTGTTCCAAATTGCTAAGGAGGCTGCTTGCTGGGGTGGGGAGAGGTGGGGTTCTGGCAGAATTGGTGGTGGACCCCCAGACCTCTGCAATCTCCTCAGCATCTGGTTGATTTTCCCAGCCTTCCCTTTGTCTGGTAGGCAGATCTTCCCAAGTGCCAGAGGTTGCCCTAGGGTCAGATCCAGACTCACAACCAGGTGTGTCTTTTGTATGTTTTGTCTGGTTTCCCCAGCCTTCCCCAGGGCCAAGCTTCTGGCCCCAGGAGTCAGTGGACACGGTCTCACTCTGGACATGTGGAGTGGCTTCTTTGCGGGGGGGCCTGCGCCTGCGCCGGCCTTCAGGAGCATGAGTCCTCAAGTGGCTCTTGAGGGCCATGGGATTAGTAAAGTCCTTGCCACAGGTGGTACAAGGGAAAAGGCCAGTCTCGTGGGTTCGGCGGTGGTTGACCAGGCTCCCGGGGTGACGGTAGCCCCGCCCACACTGCTGACAGCGATAGGGACGAGGGATGCTGTCAACTTCCTCACTATCCTGGTTGGGAGATGGATGGAGCAGTTCTCGGTGCCGTGACAGTTCTGGGATACTAGGAAAGTGACGCTGACAGTCAGGGCAGCTAAGTGAGAGAGGCGTGTCCTCCATGGGTCAATGTGACAGAAACCTGGAGGTTCAGGAGGAACAGACAAGTGGCAGCAGCATCTTCTTCTGGTGGAGGAGCCAAGGCCTAGGAAGAGGGGGTCGTTATCAACAAAAGGCCTGAATTAACTTTGACTCTTGTTTCTATGAGCCACACATTCACTAGAGGTCACTGAGAGGTTACCTAACCATCAATGCCCAGCGATCTACTTTCTACTAGATCTAACCTGGGAGCACCATCATTTAAGGCCTATGCACAGCTCCCCAAATATGGGAGTTCCTCTAGGCTTAAGTCATACCTAAAAGATAAAGGAATAGAAGTCTAGAGAGTAACTCACTTCTGATCACAAACCTAATATCATGTCTTTCAGGCCAGATTCAAAAGGTTTACTGTTCCCAATCTTATATTCTCTATAATTCTGTGAAAACAAAAAACTTCTATGACACCTGAAAAAGGAAACTAGAATTATTCCTAGGCTTCAGAATAAGAAAGTCAAACCCTTTCTCCTTTATCCTTCAACTAAATAAAGTAACCTGGAAGCACTGAAAAAAACGGCTACTTTCTCCATCAATAACTAATAAAAATATTTTAAAAAAGAAGTCATCTACAGAGAAGGACTGGTTTGTTCCCTCCACTCATTCCAAGTCCTTTCAGTGTCTCAAGGTCTTCTTTCCAAAAACTCTCTTGCCTACTTTTACGTACTTCCCCCAAACCCCAACTATCTTCCATTTTTTGGGGAAAAAATCCCATCTCTTTTGACACTTTGAATTTCATTTCATCTCCTATTTTCTAGTCCGAGTCGCCTTACTTTACTCTCACCATCCTTTCTCATTTTTTCTTCTACTACTTTTCAATACTGATGACAGTAACTCATGCTGAACATTACCATGTGCCAGGCACTGTAAATATATTCACTGTGTCACTAAATCCTGACAACACTGCAATGCCAGTTAACCCAGCTTACACATGAGAAACACACTGACTGAGGCAGTCTTCACCTTAAAGCTCTTGTTTTCTTAGTAATAGCCCCTCCTGCCTCCTAGTCATCTTGGCCTTTTCCAATTCTGACTATTCACTCCCATGGGACACCAATAGAATTCATCTCCGACTTTAAACCCTTTCACTGAATCTGCCCCCAGAATTCTCACTTCCCAAAGCTCCTTCTCTCAAGAGTCCCCTTCCCTAATCAACCACCAACGAGGTCCTCTATCGTCACTCATCTCTTCTGCCAATTTCCTCTTAGGACCCCTACCTTGCACCGCGGACCCCTTCCCGTTCCCGCCGCGGGCGCGTCCGTTGGGAACCGCGAACGAGAGCGCGCCTGCGCACTGGGACCCTTACCCTAACTGCAGCCGCGCGCCCCAGGGGGTGGCTTTGGGGGGGTCTCGCGCTCCTACACACGAACAGTCAGCCAGGGTTCCCGGAAAGGGGGAAGCACAGTGCAAGAAGAAAAGACGGAGGTGAAGGAAGAGGAAGGTAGAGAGAAGAGGGCACAGCTGGTATGATCCAGAACTCTATCCCCCACCTCCGCGGACACTTCCTATTGTTACTAGGAAACAGGAAGTGTCCTAGATGCAAAATCTTCCCCGTGAAACTTCCGCTTCTGGAACACTTCCTGTCCCGCCTCCAGGCTGCAGTTCTACACAAACACACTTCCGGTGCCAGGTTCTGGCTGGGCGTGACTCTGGCCCCGCCCACGCAGGTCACAACGCTGTTTTCCTTCTCACTACCTTAGCTACCACTCGGTCCAGAGCGGCAAAATCGTTCCGATGCATACTGAATAAGTGCGAGTTTGGGGGGGAATTCTTCAGGCCTGGCCACAGTACTATGGTGACACTTTTTGTGGGACTCCCAAGACAGATGGGGAAAGCTTCATTAAATTCACTCCTTGCTATTAAAGGAAATGTGAAGTAGAGGGTTTAGATACCACAAAACTTTATCATGGCCTTTCTGTCCTCCTATCTTCTAACTCTTGGTGACACTTCCGGTGACCTGGCCAATTCATACAGTCGTCCGGGCGTCCCCTTGCTTTCTTGCTCAGAGACCCTTAGCAAGATGTTTCCGCCACCATAGGCTGGAGGTGCTTGCGTAAACTTTTCCTTCTCTTAAGCGGGGAAAGCTCGCTCTCACTTCCGCTCTCTGGCCTGCTGGCCCCGCCTCCCTGCCCCCCGCTGGGTCCTAGCGCCTTCCCCTTTCTGGTGGTGTTCTGGGCTCTGTTGGTGTGTGAAGCCGACGCAGATGCCACGGAGCCAGTCCAAGTCGGATCAGGTAGGAGACGCCTGCGGGAAGTCGCCAAGACCCCGGGCAGCCCTAGCACGGATGCGGTCAAAGCTGGCCTCAGTTTTCCTGTGGGCACCGGAGGACTGGGGTTGGCCCGACGCGAGCAGCGCGGGCGGGGCGGGCGGCAAGCGGCCCCAGGCGGGCTCCGGGCCCAGCAGGTCCTAGAACCCGCCGGCTGTCCCCGCGGGCCGGCTACTACGGACTCCCGGGCTCGGCCAACGCGGCTGCCGGCCTTGCGCGGTGTGGGCCCAGGGGTCCTAGAGCCCGCCATGTTGAGGGCTTTTGTCTTAGCTGCGCGGCCCGCCAAGTAAGGTCCCTAGCGCCTGTGGCCCCCCTCCCAGGCGGAGGCCCTGACCGCCCCTCCCGCGGTCCTAAAGAACGCCATTTACGGGGCTTTGTCCCGCTTTTGGCCCTCCTTCCATTCATTTGTTCATTCCTTCATTCTTCGTTTACTTTTTCTTATCACGTCTCCAAGGCCACGTTTTCCTAGGGTTCATTCCGAAACGAGTCAGCCCGGGGCCCTGCCCTGCGGGGGCTGCCTGTCTGGTGAAGGTACCAACGCAGATAGTTATAGGGATTGAGGAGCACAAGGTTTCTGCATCTCTTGGCCACTCCTCAGGTCGTCTAGTAGGCTCTAATGCCCTTCAACTCCCTTATACCTCAGCTGTCGCATTTTAGCAATGCCGAGATAGGCCGAGAGCGCTGTGGATCCTTTACTTCTAATGTCCACTAGGTGTTATTGGGAGCATTGGAGAGGGAGTATTTGAGTGATGCAAATGAGTTTTCCCTTGGGAGAAGGGGAGCATGGGCTTCTTGGCAGAGGGAATTGCATATAGAAGGGCGAAGTTTGAGAACAGTTTTGGCCGGAGCTTTGGTCACTGCCACTGAAACTGAGGCTGGAAAAGTAGATTGGGATCAGATTGTGAAGGTTTTAGGCCTAGCTATGATTAATGCTCACCTCTCCACAGTTGCATCAACTCACCAGATCTCTCCTGGCCTGAGAGGTTTATGTGATGACTACTTTCTTAAAGATGGGGAGACTTAAATGCCTCCTTTTTCACCTCATCCCTGCTTCCAGACTAAGCTTTTGGGGGAATTCAATCTCTGCATATCTTCTGATTACAGGTAACAGACTTGAGAGGTGGGGACATGAGATTAAGAGATAATTCTGTAGAGTGGGCCCACTGTGCTGGTCCCCACATGCTTGCTTTTAATTCTTTAAAATTTTATTTATTTATTTAGGATACTGGGGATTGAACGCAGGGGCGCTCAACCACTGAGCCACATCCCCAGCCCTATTTTGTATTTTATTTAGAGACAGGGTCTCACTGAGTTATACAGGGACTTGCTAAGTTGCCAAGGCTGGCTTTGAACTGTCGGTCCCCCTTCCTCAGCGTTCTGAGCTGCTGGGATTACAGTCCTGTGCCGCTGGGCTGGGCCCACACTCTTGCTTTTAAAAAAAAAAGTTTACCTGTGGCCCTGCCTAGCTTAAGTCAATAGGACTGCTATATTCTCAGCAATAGCCCATTACCTGCAGAAGAACTAATAGGCCCAGAAATACAAGTTACCCTGAAGTCCCTGAAGGGACATTTTGACCTTTATACCAACCAAAGATTCTGGGTCAGAAAGAGACAGGATTTCATAGGTTCTGACTCCTTCCTAGTCACTGGAACCTTCCTTATCACATCACAAGGGAGCAAGACTTCTAGGGTGGACAACTGCATCTTCCCAATTTCAGAGTGGGGGTGGTGTCCAAATTCATCGAGTTTCAACCCCCTTAAAAATCCCAGACTTTGTGAAAAATATGCTTTTTTGTCCAGAGACAGTTCAGGTCACTCCACGGCCACACTGTACTCATCTCTCTTATTTCATTTTCCCAGATAAACTACTTGTTGATCTGTATAACCCACCCAAAACCTTTGTGTGAGTTTGTAAAGAGCCAGCTGTCTTTAGGACCCAACACCTGCCTTGAGGCCCTGCAAGCCACTTTTGGCTGCAGCTCTGAGGGCGGCAGACATGCTACAATGTTCCGTGTCTCCACCAATTACTTTACTGATTAACTCCTATTATTTTCTCTGGTTACTTTTTCAGATCTGCCTTTTCTAAACTCTTACTCAACAACTTGGCCTGAGATAATTAAAAATTTCTGGTCAGGGCACACTGTGATGAAATTGGAAGGTCTTGATTGGAATCCATTTACCCACAGCCCTTTATGGGGTAAGAGCCTGAGGCTTATATTTTTGGTCTTTTTGGTGGACAGACATTGTCTTATGGCAGTTGAAGGCTTCCGGCCAGGTTACTCTGACATGCCTGGAGGCTGGTAATTATAAGTCCCTGAACACCCATGCCCTTTAGGGTAAAAAGACCACTTTGTCTTCCTTTTGCCCTCTCATCTTTACCTCTGGACCAGCAGAACATCATGGGACCTCACTCAGGGTTCAAATCAATGGGAACTCTAATGCACATTAAAGGTAAAAAGCATTTTTAATCTCTTTGGTTTAAAGTACTTCAATCTAAAACTCCTCTTCTTATACTGTATTACAGGATTACCTATAGGTTTCTTTGCTTCTTGATATCTGCCCATCTTAGGCTTGCTATCCTATTTGGGCCACTCGGACTTAAATGTTTGTTCTTTCTTTTCTTTTATTTAATTTTTTTTTTTAGTTGTACATGGACACAATACTTTTTTTAATTTTTATGTGGTACTGAGGATTGAATCCAGTGTCTTCCACATGCAAGGCGAGCACTCTACCACTGAGCTACAACCCCAGCCCAGTTGTTCTTTCTTTTTTTTGTATTCTGGGATTATGTTCTTAATAAATTTCTCTCTAAATGCCAGAGTGGGAGGGGGAAAGGTAGAGAGACTGAACAGACCAGCTAAAAAAAATCTCTGGGTCTTTTCAGGGATGCTCAAGAAGACCCTTTAGGTATTGCCTTAAGGACAATATAAACATTGCCCAAAGTGCAGGTAGGTCAGCTCCAAAATTTCAGAGCACCAAGCAAGCCAACATCAGGCCCAGGAATTGGGAACGTCAGGGGACACTCACTTTTCATAGATGCTCTTTTCTATCCAGATATAAAACATTGATAAAAGGGAAAATCCCTGTTTCTTTTTCTTGAAAGCCTTTTTCTATGGTCTACCCTCTCCCCTGATCTCATAGGCTCTCATACTTTCTAAATGTCTTGATTGACTCTGATCTAATTCAAAAGTGCACTCTTGTCTAATATAAGTATTCTCCGTGTTTTTGTTTGTTTTTGATACTGATGACTGAACCCAGGGATGGTTTAACACTAACCTACATCCACAGACGTTTTTATTTTCACCCATTTATTTATTTATTTATAATTGTAAGTGGATACAATATCTTTATTTTTTTATCTTTATGTGGTGCTGAGGATTGTGAACCCAGTGCCTCAGCCATGCTAGGTGAGCACTCTATCACTGAGCCACAACACCAGCTCCCTTATTTATTTATTTATTTAGGGATAGGGTCTGGCCAAGTTGCTGGCTTTGTGCTTGGATCCTCCTGTATTGCCTCCCTGATTTGTTTTTTTTTTTTTGGGGGGGGGTGGATACTGGGAATTGAACTCAAGGGCACTGAACCACTGAGCCACATCCCCAGCTCTATTTTATATTTTATTTAGAGACAGGGTCTCAGTTGCTTACTGCCTTAATGTTGCTGAGGCTGGCTTTGAACTTGCAATCCTCCCGTCTCAGCTTCCCGAGCTCCTGGGATTACAGGCTTATGCCACCATTTCAGGCCTATGTATTCTTTTATTAGAGTAATTATAGCCATTTCATTTTGGGGAGGAAAAAACTCTGCTTTTTGGAGCTCCTGGTTTTTCTGGCAAATTGACCCTTCGTTCTATATGCCTATATTAATATAATTTTGTTCTGATTTGTTTTGTCTAACTGGAGTCTTTGGTTTTTTTGCCCTGTGTCTATCAAATTTTCCCCCTGCTATCTTTATTCTAAGGCCAGTTATTCAAGGGTTAACTCTCAAATTACCGGAAACTGAAAGAAAAGAGATCTTCCCCCTAAGAGGGCCCTATGGAGAGAAATTAACAGTGGTGATGATCAGAATGAATCTGCCCCCTGGAGGAGAAGTGGCCACCTGAACCTTTGATTTCAGTGTCCACAGTGGCTGACAGACTGTGCTCCAAACACCCACAGATGTACAAGCCTTCCCTGTGTCTGAGTCATATTGTAAAAGATATGGCAGGCTCTGAAGCTTTCTTTTGTCCCTACCTGTGGGAACCTAATACCTAGTAAAAAGCTATAAAATCTGTTTCCTGTATGTTTTTTGAGAGAGAGAGAATTTTAATATTTATTTTTTTAGTTTTCAGCAGACACAACATCTTTGTTTGTATGTGGTGCTGAGGATCGAACCCAGGCCGCACGCATGCCAGGCGAGCGCATTACCGCTTGAGCCACAGCTACAGCCCCAGCCCCTTCCTGTATGTTTTTATGCACAAATTGTATATTGTTTGTTGTGTCTATATAATTGTTTACTTGGTACCACAACTGGCTCATGAATAAGTGAGTACTCAAAAGTTAGGAAAATGAATCCAGATATCTTCTAGTTCATATGACTTAAATCTTTAAAAAAAAAAAAAAAAAACAAAGTTATTTTAAATTGGTTAAAAAGATAAAAATAAAATGTCTTTAAAATTACTAATTCATGTGTTTTTCTAGGTGGCCAACCAAGTCTCTATAAAATATGAAATGTGTAATGTCCATTGCTTTAGGATTTTTCTTTGATAGGAAAAGTATCTAAAATGTTAAATTAAATTTTTTTAGGATTTTTTTTTTTTTTTAAACAGGAAAATGACCTAAAATGGTAACTGTGCTTGCCTTGATTTTCTTGGTTAAATTAGGTTTAGGGGCTGGGGTTGTCACTCAGCGGTAGAGCTGAGACATTTAGAGCACGTGCAAGGCCCTGGGTTCAAGCCTCAGCACCACATAAAAATAAATAAATAAAATAAAGGTATTGTGTCCAACTACAACTAAAATATATATATAAACTTAGGTTTAATGTAAATGGGATAAAGAATTATAAATGTATTTGTTAGAGGAGGCATCTGATTAATTTGCAAGTCAAAATACTAAAACATCAATCGCTAAACATAAATTCTCTTGTGTGGTTTTCTTTTCGGTTGATTTCTTTCTTTTTTGGTTTTTTTTTTTTGGTACCACTGAGCCACATCCCCACCCTATTTTGTATTTTATTTAGAGACAGGGTCTCGCTGAGTTGCTTAACACTAAGTTGCTTAATGCCTCACTTTTGCTGAGGCTGGCTTTGAACCTGTGATCCTCCTGCCTCAGCTTTCTGAACCACTGGTATTACAGGCATGTGCTACCAAGCCCAGCAATTCTAATATTTTTGGATTCTTGAATTTTGTAAAAAATATATATATATATATATATATATATATATATTTGGATCTATGAATTGGGGATTTTTTTTAATATATATATTTTTAGTTGTAGATGAACACAATACCTTTATTTTGTTTATTTATTTTTATGTGGTGCTGAGGATTAAACCCAGTGCCTCACACTTGCAAGGCAAGCGCTCTACCACTGAGCTCCATTAAAAATATATTTATACAAAAATTATAGGTACAAACTGGGCATAGTGGTGAACTCCCAGTTACTTGGGAGTCTAAGGCAGGAGGATTGAAAGTTTGAGGCCAACCTGGGCAACCTAGAAAGACCCTGAGTCAAAATAAGAAGGGATAGGGATGTAGCTCAGTGGTAGAGCACCCCTGGGTTCCATCATGAGTAACACACATACACAGTTATAGGGATATTTTTTGGTAAGAAAAAATAAAAAAAATAAAGGGAGATATTTCTGGGTGAAAAGCATTTTATATGATAAAGTAATATTTTTTACCTAAAGTTCAAGATGGGGGAAAAAAAGAAGAAAACAGGTTAAAAGTAAGGAGGTAAACAAGTTGTAAAATATCTAAGTTTCAAAAAGTTTGTAGAAGTTAAATCTTGGAAAAATTCTGTGTGTTATTAAGTAGGCTACAATTAACATACCTAAAATAATTTAAGGGGTTTTCTATGGTCAAAATTTAGTGTACTAATATAAAAACCAAAATGTTTCTATATCTTAAAAATCATAGGAGTGGAGTTTGTGGCTCAGTGGTAGAGCGCTTGCCTAGCATGTGTGAGGCACTGGGTTCAATTCTTAACACAACATAAAAATAAATCAATAAAATAAAGGTCCATCGACATCTAAAAAATATTTAAAAAAATAAAAAAAAATCATGGGGATTTCTTAAAACATTGATCTGCTCTTAGTTATCAAGATAATTCATTGTGTCTATTAGGTTTCATTTCATAGAAAAAAAGTCATAAAGGAATTAGAGTTTGCTTAAGTAAGTCTTTTTAAAAAATATTTAATTTCTTTTAGTTAGAGGTGGACACAATGTCTTTATTTTACTTTATGTGGTGCTGAGGATTGAACCCAGTGCCTCACGCATTCTAGGCGTGCGCTATACCTTTGAGGCACAACCCCAGCCCTAAGTCTTTTAAATGATTGCTTCATAACTCTGGTTAAATTCTTATGCTATGGGCTGGGGATGTGGCTCAAGCGATAGCGCGCTCACCTGGCATGCGTGCGGCCCCAGATTCGAGCCTCAACACCACATACAAACAAAGATGTTGCGTCTGCCGAAAACTAAAAAATAAATATTAAAAAAAAATTTAAAAAATTCTTAAGTTATTACAAATACATTTGATACTCTAAGTATATGTGACTAGAGTCATGTGTACATCTGAGGATTAGATATGTATATCTGAGCTTTGTCTAAATGTTATGTAAGAGTTTATGAAATTAAAGCTGTATAAATTTAATCTAAATTAGAAGAACCAATAAGTGTTCTCTTCTGTACAATGTACCTTTGTATCTGGAATTTAAACATGTAGAAGGGTAAATAAAACTTGGCATTTCTGCCCTTTGTATTTGGTCTGCATATGTTTGCTTTGATTGGAAAATCACTTTATTTATTGTACATAAGAGATATACTTGTGGACTGGGATTGTGGCTCAGTGGTAGAGTGCTTGCCTGAGGCACTGGATTCGTCCCCAGCACCACATAAAAATAAATAAAGGTACATCTACAACTAAAAATATTTTTTTAAAAAAAGAGAGATATACTTGTACATCAGGTAATAAGTCTTTGTGGCTATTAGCATTGTTTCCTAAACTTACAAGAAGTCTAGAACTATCCTTTGATTTTTTTTTTCAGTGCTACATATGCTTATTATTACAATTATCCTACAACGTGGATTCTAAAAAGTTAAAACTAAGTTAAGGGCTGGGGTTGTGGCTCAGTGGTGGAGCGCTTGCCTAGAATGGATGAGGCACTGGGTTCAATCCTCAGGACCACATAAAAATAAATAAATAAACAAGCAAACAAATGAATAATAAAGGTTAAATTATTTTAAGAAAAACTTAGTT